TGCCGTCCGGCATCATGCCCGAAGGGTCAAATGTCGTTCCCTGCGCCTCGATGGGAGAGCTGCCCATACAACGAGACCCTTTGGTGGCAGTATCTCGACCCATCGGCAGAGTACCGTGATAACAGCGTCAAGGAATGGGAGGAAAAGCAGGCGCAGAAGAAAATCAAGCAGGCCGCAAAGCCGGCCGAGGATGACGAACAGGGTCAGCTGCGGGCTCAGCAGGAGGAGCGCAGAAAGGCCGAAGCCGCTGCGGCCGTCCTAGACGAGCCCCCGATGGCACCTGCTCCTGGAATTGAGGCCGGGGCGACCAAGGAGATGTTCAACGACGACACGCCTCGCAGGCCTATGCCTGTCGATGATGAAGTGATGATCCAGCCGAATTTTGACGATGAGGTGAAGCTCCCCGACTTTGATGACATCAAAGTTCCTGAGGTTGAGGCACCTGTGGTCGAGGCGCCCGTGGTCAATATTCCTGTAGAGGAAGTGCCTGTGGCGCCAGCTGGAGATGCCCATGAAGAACATATCCACGCCAAGAGGGCACCTCCCCCCGTGGAGGACCCGAGCAACCCAGGCACAATAGACACGCTGGAACCCAAGCAAGTTCCCCCTACAGACAACACGCAGAATGTTGCGGGTGGCGTCATTGGGCAAATACCCATCGACGACACTACGGCCCTCACGCCCCCAGCAGCACCAGCGACGATCCCGGAGCTGCCAGACCCCAAGCCTATGAACCATGAGGAGTTTGTCAAGAACCGCATCGAGACGGAGCGCATTCCGCCCGGCTTCTCAGCCATCAACCACCGCCACTACATCCTACGGTACGTTTGACTCATTGCTACCCGACGCGAGTTTATTACTGACAGCCGCAGCCCCGAGGCCATCGAGTCTGTCTGGTACATGTATCGCATTACCGGCGATCCTATCTGGCAGGAAAAGGGCTGGCGTATGTTCGAGGCCGTTGTCAAGGCCACGGCCACGTCCATCGGCAACAGCGCCATCGAGGATGTGACATCGACGCAGCCGACCAAGACCGACGAGATGGAGAGTTTCTGGCTTGCTGAGACACTCAAGTACTTCTACCTGCTGTTCGCGGATACCGATGTCATCAGTCTTGATGACTGGGTGTTGAACACGGAGGCCCATCCCTTCCGGAGGCCCAAGGAGTAGGGTCAAATAATGTAGGGTCGTGGGGGAGTAACGATGCATGGGTGGCGTTTGGTGTTGGGACGGGGTGCATAGCCTCTGTTGAATTCAATGTTTCCGCCTCTGACTTGCTACTTGTTTGCGGTGCTTAGTTATGTCTGGCATGCCGAGCCTAGGTGTGGTGTGGAGTAGAGGCCATCAGTCTGCAGGTCTCCCAGACTACGATCGTACAACTCCGAGGGTATTGTTATGACCCTTGGTTGACACTGACTGTTGATACGACCTTGCTGACTTCTTCTTCCCGCAGATGAAACAACATTGTAACTCGTAGCTCTCGTCCTCCGCTCAGAGGACTAGTAGAGTCTCGCTGCTGATCTGCCCAGTAACAACATGGTCGACACCGATGATGCACAGCCTTGCCTGCCAAATCTGGATGTACCTAAGCTTAGGCGCCGTACATCATCAACAAATCCAATCATGTGATCCTGATGTGCAACCTGCTTCTCTTGGCCACGTAGCGGGGTAAGGCTGAGGCAGGCAGTTTGGCAAGGTGGTCGTCACATCCACCCCAGCCTGTCATTCATATCCGAAGCAATACCCTCTCTATCTTCATAATCACGCAGTGAACCATGAACACGCCGCAACAGCATCATGAGGACCCAGGGTCCAGATCGCCCTCATTTCCCATACTACAGGGTGCTATTCCCTACCATCGCTTCACAATTGCCTGGGTATGCGCGTTGCACATTGAGAGAGCGGCAGCACTGGCGATGCTAGACGAAACGTTCGAGTCTGCGCCAGTGCTCGTTCCCAGCTTGGACGTTAATACATATACGCTCGGTCGCATTGCGCAGCAGTACATCGTCATTGCCTGCCTGCCTGAATCCCAGTACGGGACCAACAACGCGGCCATTGTCTTAACCAACCTGACCAGGACATTTTCTTCCGTGCGAATGGCCTTGATGGTCGGCGTCGGCGGTGGTGTGCCAGGCAGGACAGACATGCGCCTGGGAGATGTCGTTGTCGGGACAAGAGTCATGCAGTACGATATGGGCAAGATATCCGACAGAGGGCTCTTGCAGCGCACGGCGGTCGCGAGGGTGATACATCCGCTTCTTGGCACTGCGGTTTCTTCTCTGCGATCGGACCACGAGCTGCAGCCTGGTCGACTTCTCCAGATCCTGCGGAACGGGCTCCGTAAGCTCCCTCAGTACTGTCAACCGAGCACGCCTGATCGACTCTTCTTGACAACGTATCAACACGAGCTTTCGGAGGATTCTTGCGACACATGCGACGAAACAAAGTTGGTGATTCGTATAAAGCGGCCGTCGGAAGATTTCGTAATACATTACGGGGCGATCGCTTCAGGTAACCAGGTGATGAAGAACAGCACGGCTCGAGATGAAATCGCTCGAGAACTCGACGTCGTCTGTTTTGAGATGGAGGCCGCCGGGCTAATGGATGTGCTGCCTTGCCTCCCGATACGTGGTATCTGCGATTACTCGGATTCTCACAAGAGCAAAGAATGGCAGAAATACGCCGCGGCGACGGCCGCTGCTTATGCGAGAGCCTTTGTAGAGACGCTGCGAGTAACGTCGCTGCAAGAATCTGTTTCGCGAGATTATGCCTCTCGCGCCCAGGGTCAGTGATCTGAGGTTCTGGTGGCAACACATGCTCACATTTGACGGGCAGGCGAGGGTGCAGAAACGATGGCTAGAAAGCAAGAGTTGCGTGCTCGCATCCTGAGCTCTTTGACTTTCGACGGTATTCGGTCCCGCGAGATTGATATCGACCCAGCCTACGCCGGCACGTGCCAATGGATTCTGGACCACGATGCCTATAAGAAATGGCAAGATCCTCAAGAGTTGACGAATCATCACGGACTCATGTGGCTCCGTGGCAAACCAGGCGCCGGCAAGTCTACGATAATGAAGTTTGCTTACACCAACATGAAGAAGAATCTTCCCCACCAGAACGTCTTGTTGATTTCATTCTTTTTCCATGCGCGAGGCGGGTACCTAGAAAGGTCGGTCTCTGGCATGTATCGATCTCTACTCTATCAGCTACTTCGAGGGTATCCAGAAGTTCAGACCATCCTTGACGACGTCGACGATCTCGACGCCTTCCCTTCGACACAGGGCCTCCCTTTGAATGTTCTCAAAGAATTATTCCAGCGGTCCGTGCAGTTACTCGGAGGGCGCTCGCTCATTTGCTTCATCGATGCATTGGACGAGTGCGACGAACAGGAAGTTACAGACATGCTACAGTTTTTCGAGGAGCTAGCCGAAAACACCGCAACGTCGGCAATTCAACTACGGATCTTTTTTTCCAGCCGTCACTATCCTTTTATGGATTTACGACAGTGCGTCAGACTGACGCTGGAGACACAACAGAGTCATATTGGGGACCTGACTACATATGTCCGGAGGCATCTTCGGGTCAACGATCGAGCCCTCCTAGAAGAACTTGAAGAACAGATTCTTCAAAAAGCTTCTGGAATCTTCCTTTGGGTAATCCTAATTGTAAAGACTCTCAACAAAGAATACCGGAACGGCGCCATGGCTATTCGAAAGAGACTTGAAGAAGTGCCGCCTGGGTTAACTGAGCTTCTCAGGAATATCCTCAACCGCGATAGTGAGAATCCGGAGCAATTCCTACTGTCGGTTTTGTGGATCCTCTTCGCGATGCGGCCCCTCAATCCGAAAGAATACTATCACGCCCTCTGGTCAGGACTGTCATTGAGCAGCCTGATAGATTTCAACGTACCAGATGTCATGTCCCAGGACGCTGATCACCGCGTGATCGGATTCGTCATTAGTTCTTCGAAAGGTCTGGCAGAGATCACGAGATCCAGCACAGTGCAGTTCATACATGAATCCGTCCGTGATTTTCTCCTGAAGGATCATGGGCTTCATGAACTTTGGCCGAACCGCGGGTTCAACGCTACCATTGAGGCCTCGAGCCACAAACGGCTGAAGCAGTGTTGCATTGCCTATATAGACCATCCCTTGATACGAAAACTTGTCCGTCAGGCGGATGACGATAAGCAGAGCTTTTCCAACGCCAGTCCACTCATTGCTTCGGCAAAAATCTTGACCGGGAACAGCATTGAACCGGTATTTCCTCCTTTCTACAAATACGCCCTTGATTATGTCTTGGACCACGCAAATGAAGTGGAGGATCCGTCTTCTGAGGTAGAGCTACTTTCGAGATTTCTGGTCATCGACTATCCCCAGGGCAACGAAGATACAGGATCCAAAGAGATTGCTGTGCTACAACACGGAGTTTCCACCAAAGACGCGTTGTACAGCTCTTGGCCGCGTTATACGGCACCGGATATGCTATACCTTCTCGCGTCCAAAGGGCTTTCCAGACTGATGCTTGTGTGGCTCGCGGAAAATCCTGGCATCTCCGTATACGGAGGGGATGGGAAGTATCCATTCTTTGCTGCCTTGCTTAATGGCAAGATGGAGACCGTGGCGGCATTGCTGCATTTGCCTCCTCATGGCTATGACGAGCTGAGCCTATTGACTGCTCCGTATGCTCACCACGTTTCTGATTACACGCCACTGGTATGGGCTTCCGGAAGAGATGTGCCCATAACAGTCATGCAGCTTCTACATGCGGGGGGAGATCCAAACGAAAACGACCGATCCGGAACTTCAGCACTTTCAGCGGCTTGTAACTATGGTCGCGAGCGAGTAGCGAAGCGCCTAATCGAGGCGGGGGCTAATCCGAACCAACTTGGCAAAACTGGCGATTCAGTGCTCATAGAGGCTTGTCGGAGTAGCCATGAGCGGATCGTGCAACTCCTCATCACAGCTGGAGCCGACCCGAATAAAAGTGACAGCGTTGGTTCTGTGGCGCTCATCAAGGCTTGTGAGAGTGGATATGAGCGGATCGCGGAGCTCCTTGTCAACGCTAAAGCTGACCCGAACAAATGTGACAACGTTGGTTCTTTGGCGCTCATCAAGGCCTGTCAAAATGGTCATGATAGGATCGTGGAACTCCTTATCACAGCTGGAGCCGACCCGAATAAACGTGATACACACTATCGTGTAGCGCTCGTGAGCGCTTGTGGGAGGGGCTATGAGAGGATCGCGGAGCTACTTATCGATGCTGGAGCCGACCCGAATAAGCGTGACAACGTTGGTTCTATGGCGCTCATCAAGGCCTGTCAAAACGGTTACGAGCGGATCGTGGAACTCCTTCTCACAGCTGGATCTGACCCGAACAAACGGGACAGCGCTGGTTGTGTAGCGCTCATGGAGGCTTGTGAGAATGGCCATGAGCGGATAGCACATATGCTCATCAAAGCCGGAGCACGCCTCAACTACCGGGATCGGGTCGGCGGCACAGTACTTTGCATGGCAGTTAGTCGAGGGAAAGAAAGTATAGCTAAATTGTTACTCGACAGCGGTGCTGATCCCAACCTAGGCCCCTATTATACATCACCGTTGGTCGAAGCCATAGTGGTCAGTTGTTCGCGATCGATCGCTATGCTTCTGGTCAAAAAGGGGGCGGATGTCAATTGCAGCACCAACTTTGGATGGACACCATTAATGTACGCCACGGATTCAGGCGATCAAGTCATGGCGAGACTTTTGCTTGATCGGGGGGCTCAAATCGATGCCAGAGATTGCATGGGCAAAACGGCACTGTGGGTTGCCACGTTGAGAGATGATGAAGATATGGTAAGATTTCTGATCGAACAAGGCGCAAATGCCACTCTAAGTCACAAGTATCCGGGTAGCCTGGTCGAACTAGCTCAAAGCAGAGGGACTTCCACTATTTGGAAGATGCTTCTCGCGGCTTGCGAGCGTTCCTGAGGGAACTTACGAAGAGGCCGCCCAGTGGTCCCCTACAGATATCGCGGTTACTGGTTTTCGGCTCGGGCATTACCATGTCTCCTGTCGGCATTTGCGATGAGAGAAGCTCAGTAGACAGCATGGTGCGAGGTCATTGCCCGCCACCACCATCGTCTTTTCTCGTAGTTATAATTCAGCTTTCATATTTGCCTCCATATCTCAATCACGTCGTCTTGTCGTGTGACACCTTGATCATGGGCTGATACAATTTCCGCTGCCACCGATACCACAGCCCTGTCGTAACAAGAGTGACCGGGATGGCAAAAGCCCAGTATATCCAAATCTTATTCGAAACGCTCCACTCTCCAGTATCGTCATCGACATTGAAAAACGACATGCTGAAAACAGCAGAGATGAACGTGGCCGGCAGGAAAGCCAGCGTCAGGAACGAGATGGTCTTCATCGCGGCACTGTCCGACTGCGCGGCCCGGGCAATCTCGACGCCGGTGCGCGAATCGTGCTGCGCGACCGTGTGGAACGCGAGCTGCATCTCATTGTCGAGCCTCTCCTTGTTAGAGGAGGAGCGGCAGCGGAGGCTCTCGAACATGTGCTTGAAGAACTCGAGCCGCTGGTGGACGTGCCTGTGCGTGAACCTGGCGCGATGGCCCGCGGCGGCGGCCGGCGCCTCGTCGGCCAAGACGGCGTGGTGGGCCAGGGTGCTCTCCATGGACACGGCGCCGAGGTCGAGCGTCTCACAAATGTGAATGGCGTGGCGCGCGAGGTCGTGCAGCCTCTGGTAGTCCGGCGACGGGGTCTCCTTTGTGCGTTCCTTTTCCAGGTCGCGCACGTAGGTCCGGAGCGACCAGACGGCGTCGTTCTGGACGCGGACGACCTCCTCGGCGAGGCAGAGGTGGATCAGAAAGGGGTCCCGGAGGAGTTCTTTCGTGACTGGATCAAGGAGCGGTCTCGGTAATCTTTGTTCGAGCTCTTTCGGCGCATCGAAGATGAGGACGACGGTCTGGTTCGGGGTGGCCGACCACCTGACGACGACATTGATCTTGTACCATGAATGGTGAATCTTCTCCTTGCCGGCGAGTTGCTTGACGAGATACCGCGACCATGTTGCTTCTATTGTCAGCATACCCCCCTGCTTCCTTCTGAAGCGAAGCACGTACTGACTGTGGCGATGTTTCCCTCGTCATCGCCCGTGGTGTCGCAGCCAAAGTATCCGTTCGACCGCTTGCTGTAATCAGACCACCAAAGCTCGGGAATCAGAAATGCTTTCGTAAAGGCACGCCTGCACAGGTGGCAGGAACGGGTCTTATCGGCATTGGCTTGGCTGTGGATGCATCAGCAGCAGTTCCTAGGCCGTCAGAAAGGGAGAGGAGAGCTGCTCAGTGCGCACATCACCACCAGGGGAGAGCGCGGGAGCGCTCGTTGTGCCTCGTCGTCCTCCGCTGCAGCATACAACGTGGAGGGGCTCAGCCATTGTTTCTGCCATGGGCAGCCTGGTACATGTCAGCCGTTGGAAGAACTACTCGTTGGAGCTGAGTCGAGCCTCACCCTCTTCCCAGGCCAGAACTTGCAGGCTGCGGCAGTCGTGCTTCTCATTGTCCATCATTATTGCGTCGCGAAGCAGTCACAGGAAGGGCTCATTTCTTGCTTTCGAATTTCGAACATTGTAAGGCTCGAGAGGAGTAAGATTGCCACGAGAACCACGATGAGAGGTCGTCTTGTCGAGGCTGTGCACTGAATTGAGGCCGCGTCGCTTGGGGGCCACGGCGCCTATTCCGCCAGTGAGAAGGAAGGTTGTATCACATCCACACTCTCGTGGGGCAAAATCATGAAACCCTCACGTTGCATCAAGTTGGTGAGGGTAGCGGTTTTGGGGGAAATGCAGACTTCATTCTTATTCTCATCTCGTTCCACACTTTCGTGAATCAGATCACATATACTCCTACAGTCGTTTCAATTCCCAAGCCTCCCCCCAATTCCCAAATGTCCCCGAATCCGTCGAGGCTGCGCATGATGATCATCGCGGCCGCAAGATACCGATAGTGAAAGGGGCGCTGAAGTGACCCCATACATGTGTGTCGTTCCACGGCCGAAGCCTCTCTATCAAAGTCGCGCAAGGGGGGTGGGGTTGGTGATGATTATGCACGTTTCCCATGCTTTCCAAATGAAAAAAAAAAAAAGACAAAAGCAAGCCCAAGTTCCCGAAAAAACGCCTGTCCCGATGCTGGCCTTTTGAACCCATTCCTCGGTTGCCCATGTACATCATTTTCCGTGTCTGCCTGGCGCGGCGGAGCACCCAGCTTAGTCCACCATCTGGCTCAGCACGCGGATCGAGAGGATCATGACGAGCAGGCCGATGGTGACGATGATGAGTTGTGCAAAGCTGAACCAGCCGAGCACCATGGCGCTCGTGCCAACGGCTGACCGGACGGCTCCGTTGCCAAAGTCTTGCGCTATGATCGAGGCGGCGACTGACGCAGTGTGCTGCCACAGGACGGAGACGAGTACAAAGATGGAGGCGATGAAGATGATGGCCAGAGAGATTTGCGAGACGGGGCGGGACGGGAAGGGCTTGACTTCGCGGTCGGAACCCTCCGAGTCCTCCTCTTCGTGCCAGCCGGGGAAGGTGGCGAGAAGGAGGAAACAGATGAAGGCGAAGATGATGGCGATGATGCTGCCGAGGTGGTCAGATGGAGGACTGGGGAGAGAACAAGAGCGGATGGCTTACATCAGGTAGGGGAACACAACCATGTCCTTGAACTCGCTAGCGAGCCAGATGAGGTTCAGCGGATCTTGGTCAACCGAGACCTCGTTGGCAAGAGACGTCGCATTGTTACTGCACAGCCAACTGCCACCATCGGGCGAGATGCAGATGCCAAAGTAGCCGACACGGGTGGCGAGGCGCGCGTCACCAGCAATGTTGCTGATGGCGGTGTGAACGTTGTAGTCGACCTGCGCCGTGTCGGGGCGGGCCTCGTAGTTCTCGTAGTAAATGGTGAGGAGGAAGATGTCAGGGATGAGCGGCGAGGAGGATGAGCAGCCCGCGAGAAGAAGCGCTGGGATCACCGTTAGCTGGTGACGTTTGGTCATCGAGGCGGGGCTGTACGTACAAAGCATGATGATGGCGATGGCTATCAAGATCATCAACACGTGGTGGTAACCGAGAAACGGTATGAACCCTGGGAAGAATGCGTCAGTCAGCCGGTTCGCAGAGGTGAGGAATGCCTGGCTTTCGCGTGGCAGAAGTAGGACACAACGTACGGTACCATCCCACTTGGAATTTGGCCATGGCGGCGGTTTACGTGAACGCGCGGCTCGAGGAGGACCCCCCTTCTTTCCCTGATCGCTGAGCCCTCTCCCCGTTCTCCGTTCTGCGGAGCAACGGTCGGGTCTGGGTTGCGCGCAGTGCTGGCAGGACACTCAACTCGACGGCGAGATGAGCTCGGCGCTGGGGGGGTTTTGCCGATGACGCACGAAGCACGATTCGTGGGGACGAAGCGATCTGGAATGCGGGTATCTCGTGTCGTCTTTCGTAGACTGCAAAGGTTTGGTGTGGAAGAACGGGGCCGCGAGGAATTCGGAACGGCTCGGATCGACCTAGATGTGCGGGCGAAAGAATAGACTTGTCAGACCAAAAGAATGCACCGGTCCTTGGGGCTCTGGAATGATGGGATCTTTCTTTGTTCGGCTCTGGTATGGAGGAAGGAAGAGAGGGTTTGGAATGGTGAAGTGAGGGTCGAGGGGGTGGGAGGGTGTGACTTAGTTTTGCGTGGGCTTTCTGAAAAGGCGAGCTCGAGCACGGCTTGCGCGGGATGGCAGTGTCGAGTAGGATGATGTATGCTAGTGGGCAAGAATCAAGATGGCTGGAGAAGAGGGTGGCACGTCTATGAGGTATCGGCGGATCGACATACGTGGTGCGTGATGGTAGCTAGGCCAACCTCCTGTATTTACTTTGCTCCGGCTGTGGTTGGCCTGGAGACGGGGGTAAAGGTGGGGCGCCATCCGGGCTGTGACGTGGGATGGCCAGCGCGTTTCACTACGGGAGATCCACTGGTACCCTGAGTGCTCTCGATTTGGCAGGGGTCCGGCTGCGCGGTTGGGGTTAGGCTGAGGGCACCTTGGGGCACCAGGCTCGGGGCACCAGGCCGCCGCAAAGTGGTTGCGTTAGTGACCGGCAGGCCCGCGTGCCTGCATGCTCCCAATTCCGCTGGCCTCCACATCCGCGCCTACCGTTGGACCCTTCCTAGGTTCCTACCTACACAGGTACCTTACCTCAGGTACTTACCCAAGGTATGTAGGCCTACGTATATCGAAAATGCTTTTCCTGCCCCTCCATCAACAGCACCCCTGGGCGCCCACTAGCCCTGGCCGAGAACATAAGAGGAACCATCATCCATGGCCTGTTAAGCTTAATTCCCAGAATTCCTTGCTTTCTCCCCTCAGACGCCTGGACGCCTGGCATCGATGACCAACCCATCCCGGGCGGGGGGTTCGGGGCTTCGTCGAATCGAGCATCATCGCCACTCGCTTCAGTCGTCACGACAACAAGCAGGATGCTGCCACCTTCCCTTCGTGTCTACCTACCCTACGTACAGCTCTGGCAACCAAGCAGTCGTCGGCAGCCATTGGACTTTCAGCTGCTGCCTAGCACTTGGCTGCAGGCGCGCCGGATGGTTGAGATTGGAGGAACACCCGTCGTCCATCTGCCTGCTGTG